TATATATATATATATATATATATATATATATATATATATATAGAACCCAAAAGTAATTTTACAAAAGTGAGGTCGTCTATAAAGTTAGCCTCCAAAGTCCATTCCTAGTCTCTCAACATGGATAATCCCCTAGCTTGTCTCTAGAAACTGCCACATAAAACAAGCGTGGCTGAGTAATAATTCAGTGAGTAGATCAACAAATGAATAATAAACAATGAAATGATAATTTAAATCAATTGAATATCACAAAGATATAACAATGGGGTTCATGTAATCACCCCATCCGTGTTTCGTGTTATTCAAGTTCATATAAATCACCCGAACACACTAAACCCATTGTTCCCAGAGGATGTACGGTTATATGGCATAAGTGAGAACTAGCAGTGTGGACACGACATCCACTAGCCCTCGACTACTATTAAAGCAGTCCTAATTATGTTTTGTTCCTAGTATATCCATCGGTCCCTCATGGTTGGATCAGGGCCAGTATGCTCTCCATGCATACACGAGGACGCCATAAGGTTTATAGCCACCATGGAAACATCACAAGGTCAGTGCCCCGATGAAGTGTCTGGGTAAAGGATCACAACTAATGTGATCTAACCAGATCACAAAAATAGATCAACAACTAATGAACAAGTCAATATGACTTGACTCTATCTAGTCTTGTCATTCTCAATTCAATAATCTCTCAATCATTGGACTGTGTCAATAAATCATTTACATATCACATTTCATTTGCGCCTCAGCGTTTGGAATAAAACTCAAGAACCGGGCCAACGGTCCCTATTAGGGGCAATAGACTTTGGAAAACTCCAAGGTAGTGCTCAACTAATGGAACACCAAATGGATTTGAACAAAGAAGTGACAATTTGGAAATCCAAAAATCAACATCATGAGGTATTTTCGTACCTCGAGTTACCAATGGGTAAATCAAATTCGAATGGATAGACCTTTAACAATGGTCACTCCCTTGTCAAGATAATAAGAGATTTGTACCTTTATATAGGAGAGATAGTCAAAACCCGATCCCCTTATGCCAATGTTTCCAATCTTTGCTAGTCGGATTTCCTATCACATGTTATATACACTTAGAATGTACCATCCAGGTGATCAAGTCAAGTTGGCGAAACAAAAAACAAATGAGGCCAATCCCGACAGGTAAGTTATGCCGACAAATACCGAAGACCTTTAGAGTTCCATCCAAGTGATCATGTTTTTATTAAAGTCTCTCCGATCCGTGGTATGCGTAGGTTTGGTGTTAAGGGAAAGTTGAGCCCTTGATATGTTGGTCTGTTTGAAATTCTGGAGAGAGTGCGCGAAGTTGCTTATCATCTTGCCTAACCTCCACAGATGTCCCACATTCACAATGTTTTCCACATTTCTTTGTTACGCAGATATAATTATCATCATCTTCATGTTATCAACTACTCGCTAGAGCAAATTCAGCCAGATCTTTCGTACAAAGAAGAACCTGAACGAGTAATCGGGCGGATGTTGAAGAAACTGCAAAACCGATCGATCTCATACATTAAAATCCCAAGGAAGAATCAAGATTATCAGGAAGCGACGTGGGAACAAGAGGAATCGTTCAAAAATGAGTATCCAGATTTCTACAAAAACTGTAAGTCCTCTTATCCTATCTCAGAATTTCGAGGACGAAATCTTTTTTTTTTTAGGGGGGGATATATAATAACCGGACTTCTGTGATGAACTTTACGCTTTACGTGAAAAGTTATTGTGTAAAGTTAGTCATTGCTTTGTATGCTTGTACATATAACATTGGACACGAATCCGAACTAACTTTGTCAAACATGGTCATGAAAGGGGTTTAACATGGACAAGTGAAACTAGAATTAAACCTAAATGTAAAGAATTTACTAATCATTGTAAGGACACAGTTCATAAAACTTGAGGGACTAAAAATAAATAATAGAAAATTATAAAAACAATTTTGAAATTGAAAAAATTCATTTATCAGCCTCTCTTTTCCACTTCTCTCTTAGAACCAAAGCTTTCTCCTTCAAATAGAGCCTAAGATCATAATGAAATCATGAAATATTGAAGAATTAAAGTTAAATCTTGAAGGTAAACCATTGGGTAAGCTTGTAGTCTTGAAATCTAGGTTATTTTATTGAAACACATACTAAGTGTGTGTTTTTTTTGGTTAGGTGCTAGAGTTTGGAAGAAATTAAAGGATTCAACATTTTGATGAGGTTATAATCATCTTTAAGGTAAGAACTTGATAAATTTTAGAAGTTTGATGTTTGCTAACCTATGATTTAAGTGGGTTTTTGGTTGCATGATGTTAGGACTGTTATAAATTAGTAAAAATACTTTAATTTGGTTAATTGATGGTTTAGAATGGTTACCAAATCAAATGATAGTATTGGTATGTTAAAATGGTGAAATCTGGTGTTGTTGGTATGAAACAAAAGCTGTTGGTTGTTTTAAAATGTGTATAAAACCAGCCGTTGATCCGATTGAGGTGTATGATTTGTCATTGGAAATCTTAGAGTGTCTAATACAACTTTTACGTAGAGTCTGAAACCTAATTGTGATCTTAAATGTGTCAAAATGCCAAATTGATGTATCTGGTATGATGGTACTCGGGGTTTGCACATTGTTGGCATAAACTTCGTATTTAATTGGTCGTAGCTTCAAATGACATGAATTTTGTTCTATTGAACTCCTAAAGGACATATATACAACTTTAATTTAGAAAGTATCACCAAATTCAGCTCTTATGTATGAGATATATGTCCAAAACAGAGATGGACAAAAGCTGAAAGTGTGTAGGGGGTGAAATTTTCATTTGCAATGTCTTATTTGCTTGTTAAACCATATCATATCCCCTTATCAGTACTAGAATTGTATTATAATCCTACTGGTATGCAAATAAGGTTTATTTAAGTTAACGAAGATTACACATTGGATAAATGGATTAGACATACATAGGTAATCATGGTACATTCTAAGTGTATATTACATGTGATAGGAAATCCGACTAGCAAAGATTGGAAACATTGGCATAAGGGCTATCGTGTTTTTACTATCTCGGTTATATAAAGGTACGGATATCTTATTATCTTGACACGGGAGTGACCTATTGTTAAAGATCAATCCATTCGAATTTGATTTACCCATTGCCAAACTTGAGGTATGAAAAGACCTCAATGACGTTGATTTTTGGATTTCCATAGCGTCATTCTTTGTAGAAATCCATTTCGTGTTCCGTTAGTTGAGCACGGCGTAGGAGTTTTCCGAAGTCTATTGCCCCTAATAGGGACCGTTGGCTCGATTCTTGAGTTTAACTCCGAACGCTAAGGCGCGAATGGAATATGATATGTAAATGATTTATCGACTCAGACCAATGACTGAGAGATTATTGAATTGAGAATGACACGACTAGATAGAGTCAAGTCATATTGACTTGTTCATTAGTTGTTGATCTATCTTTGTGATCCCGTTAGATCACATTAGTTGTGATCCTTTACCCAGACACTTCATCGGAGGCACCGACCTTGTGATGTTTCCATGGTGGCTATAATCACTTTGGCGTCCTCATGTATGCGTGGAAAGCGCGCTGGCCCTGATCCGGCCATGAGGGTGGATGCATATCCTAGGAACAAAACAGAATTATGACTGCTTTAATAGTAGTCGAGGGCTAGTGGGTGTCGTGCCCACACTGCTAGTTCTCACTTATGCCTATAGGACCATACATCCTCTAGGAACAACGGGTTTAGTGTGTTCGGGTGATTTATGTGAGCTTGAATAACACAAGACAGATGGGGTGATTACGTGAACCCCCTTGTTATATATGATATTCGATTGATTTAAATTATCATTTCATTGTTTATTATTCATTTATTGATCTGTTCACAAAGTCATTACTCAGCCACGTTTGTTTTTCATAGCAGATTCTAGAGACAGGCTAGGTGATTATCCAGGTTGAAAGACTAGGAGTGGACTTTGGAGGCTAACTTTATAGACGACCTCACTTTTGTAAAGTTACTTTTGTAAAGATGTTGGAGTAGAAGAATTTGCTTTTATAAAAATGGAATGTCAAAGGTATTGGTTTCAAGTAATATGACAGCAAACAAACAAATACATCAGAAATAAGCATAACACAATTATGTTGCAACATAAATTGAAGATAAGCTGCTGTTGTTAATCATACAGAAAATGGTCCAAGTTTTTGCCATCCAACACAAACATATCATCTATCTCTGCTCCATGTCAAAGTTTATAATAAATTACAATTATGTCTTGCGAGTAAGTATTAACCATATGAATGATGCCTATGCCGATCCTTCTCCCGTGAAGAATATGAGGAGCCATGGTAGTCCCGATCTGAAAACAGACACACTAACCGTAAGTTTTGGACTCAATTCATACCAACAATCAAAATAATCATTTCATTCATCTACCTCGGGAAGAATGGTGTTTCGCTTTTTCAGCATGTCCTGCATATTTACCATCAGCATGAAACAGATCAGTCAACAGATGGTGAAAATTGATGAATCTAAACTGTCTATAAGTAGTTAAATTTCATGTTTCTTGTCTTAAAAGGTAAATAACTCGATCCAATCAAAACAACTAACCTGAATCCTTCCCTCTGTCCTTTGACCGGTGGCTCCTATCTTTGACTTTTTCTCTGTCCCTCTCTGCATCATCTCGCTCCCTTTCCCTTTCAGAATCTCTCCCTCTTTCACGTTCCCGACCCTTATGTCTTTCCCTTTCCTTATCTCGTTCTCTGTCTCTTGATTGCTCTCCGCTGGTATCTGTTCTATGTTCACCCTTGCTTTTTGAAATAGCTTCCTCTTTAACCTCTCCCTCAACGGGAACATTATCATCACTCTTTGTTGAATCTTTCAACTTACCAATTGCTGCTTTTATCACTGCAAAATCTGGAATAACAGCTGCAGGAGACACCTTGCTTGTGTTTGCATCTTCAGGCATTGGTGGGCCACTTGATGGACCTTCCTGAAACACATAAATTAGAAAACTTCTACTCATGCTGCATCCCAGAAGAGGGAAAAGGCCAAAAAACCAAACAGATATATATATATATACACACACACAGAGAGAGGGAGAGAGAGAGAGATGGACCTTGGGAAGAGGTTGAGATGGTGAATCCCATGACCTATTAGACATCGTAAAAGAACCACCTTCCTTGCATACGGGAATGTATTGTGCCTTAGGTAGAGTGTATAAGTGAGCTAGAACTCTACAAACTTCATCTATGCCCGTTTTTTCGGCATCAAATGCTTTCCACCATGGAGGGTCTTCAGGCAAGGGAACATGGAATCGACGAGCAGCAGCATATACAACTCCACAAGCCACAACCGCACTCTTGAACCGCACACATAAAGTTGTGCGCAAGCTGTTCACAAGGAAAATAGACTTCATGAATGATGAAACACAACAGGGAATCCGCTCAAACCATACAGAGCCAAAAAGGCACACTCCTTTTGTTTTACTTGAAGAAGAAAAAAATAGGGGGACAACTTTTCAACTTCATAATTGCTACTTGATACTACAAATTTAAGACCAACACTCTATTGGTATCATTTGTCAGTTATAGAATTTGTTTAGAATTTACAAGACTCAAATCATTGCTGAAGATGTCATCAGTCAAATTCCAACTCCTATTTTGGCAGAATAAATGATGATCTAATGACCAAGTAGAAATCACAAAGTTTGAGCTCACGAAAAAAATTCAAACATGATTAATGAAAGATGACCAAAGCTAGGAAGACTACATTTACTTGCAAAAGTTAAACAGTACATGCAGAACTCACATAAAAAGTGAATGGGGTAGTAAAAACATGTAAAATGTCGTTTGCAAAAGTTAAACAGTACATGCAGAACTCACATAAGAACACTACAATTCTCATAACAGGTTTCATACCTATCATTTGCAAGATTCCAAGCTTCCTGTCTCAACTCTGGGGGTGTCTCAAGAGTGGCAAGATAATTTGATATGAACTTATGAGGATGTTCAACGTGGCATATGAAACCCATCTCCTTTAGTAAATGTCGTTCCGATCTGATCAAATCCATTTTCAATTCTGAATATTTCTGTCAAAAGTGCAATATGTCAACATAAGCACAAAGCTTGTTTTAAATGGAAAAGTGACCAACCTTCGACTAGATTAAGTTCTAGAGCAAACATCAGCCATATAAATTGATTAGATACCTTTGAAAAGGCATCCAAATGCTCTATCGGTAGATTCTCCCTTCTGCATTCCATTCTGTGGAAAACATTTAGAACGTGCCTCGCTCTCCTAGGGTTTTCCTCTAGTTTTGAGGCAAGCCATACACAGCTCGCAGCAACTCTCTGTGAATATGACAGAAGAGGCAACATGTCATAAGCAAAGAAATTTTTCATATTACTTCCAGTTTGGAGACAAAAAGAAACGTGTGTCGACCGCTAAGATAAATGAAATAAACTTCGAACATCAAAGTCTACATGAACTATTTCAAAGTTCAAAACATTGAATTATACCTTAAAATTATCAAACAGACTTGAATCAAGGAAAAAGCCTGCTAGATATAGTTTAGAAGTTTGTATCATAATATCATATTGGAGTTGAGAAATCATAATCATCTCAGAGATCAAACTGTAAACTTTATTTTGAATGAAAGGGAGCAAGTGGTATATATAATGAGAGGAGAGCCAAACCTTCACGTTGAAACGAACAAATGACTTCTTGCAGTAGAACCGATGGAATAGAACCTGACCAGTGGCCATTACCTGCTGCGGTCTGTGTCGCATATAGTTAAGGAAATTTACAATCCAATTATTCAAGCCAAACATCAGTACTGAACTAGTGTAAACTCTCTATCTGAGGATCCCCACTATACCTTCTTCTCTATGCAACATTAACAATTAAAAAATGTACGACTAAATTGACAAAAGCATAATGATAACTAGAAGGGTACTCGCGCAATGCAACGAGATAAATCTCGATTTTAATGTTTAGTTTTTATTCTGTCTCTATCAATATAATACGATTTTATGTGGTTTTGGGAAAGTGATAAATGTTTTTATTTTTAAATGAAATATAAATTTGAAGATAGCATAAAAATTTGAAAAAAAATATACCGAATAGTTCTCGTTTTTTTTGGTGTAACTTCTTTAATTCAATTTTTTATTATAATTTAATTTAGATTTAAAACAAAGTAATTTATTTTTTGTTTGATAATATAATCTTTTATAAAGATAATAATTAAACATTCTGTTAGAACTCAATGATTATCTTAATTATATTTTAGATTGTCTATATTTAAAATGGATGTTTATCATGTATTTGATTATGCATCTGCAGTTAATTACACGAATTTAAAAATGAAGTTTTAATAAGTTGTACTTACGCAAAATTACTTGTAATCTTGAATTTCAAGTAATATGCATCAATAAACAGTACTTCATGCATAAAAAAATGGTTTTTAAGCGTTTTTGGCAAATGCTTTATAATATAGTATAGATGACATGGGCCAGCAACTCTCCATGTGCCACAGAAAAGTTAACATTCATTAAGGCATGTAGGGAGTAATAATTACATCATACCAAGTAGCTCACCAGAAAGTGTAGCCAGGTTACATCAAGGTGGTTAAGTTAGGGATAAAGTGATTTGTAAGACAAGCAGACTTGTGATATGGTTTTGAATAGGAATGCATAATAAATTCAAGAAAAGAAACATAATGATTACCACAAGGATACACCTTAAGTAAAATGCCACTCTCTTGGATAAGATCACAGCCATATATTCTAAGTGTCGTTTCAGTGGCTTCATCTATTCCATCTTTTCTAGAAGGTGTGTCCTGAAGTTGTTCGTCCGTTAGATAGAACGTGTCAATAGCTGTGTAAATCATAGTTGACGGGGACTACACTGTCACAAGAAACAAACCAGTGTGCAATACCATTAGTATTAACAAAATATAGCAAACATATCAATGTTCATACAATATAACAAGCAACAAATATAGAACTTTAAACGAATATGCCAAGTTTTAACATTCAAAATGAAATTTTGCCAAAACGATTAAATCCTATAGATACTAAAATCACTATACATGGTATACGATTTTCCAAATGACAGAACCACTTGTGTGTTCTTAAAACCCAACCAAACATACCCATTATATCTCACTCGGAAGTAGGGTCTTGGAGGATGTGAAAAGAGAGAGAGAGATGGGCTAAACCAGGATATTGTGATTTTTTGTGTTGTGGACTTGGAGAAGAATCTAGAGCATATAAGACAGAAAAAAAATGAGTGTGTATGTGAACAGGCAACAAGAACAGTAACATCAGCCAACGGTAGCAGTATTGAGGGCCTATGTAATTAAAACAATCAAAACCAACCAGGCAAGGTATGAAAACACCAAACCACTTAAAAGGAAGTACTAGGACCAAATCCTCTCCCTCCAACCACGCTAGGGCATTGCTATCCTTGTGTGTTCTTAAAGAAGGAAACAAAAAACTTGTAATGCATTTATGGTCATTGACAGTAAGTTATGATGTTTTATGAATTATAAGTTATAATGAAACTAATAATCCATAATCTTAAAGAGAGGATCAATTTTCAACAGTAAGGAAAATCAAAATCCATGCAATAAGGTGATCTGTGGAGCAAAACTAAGACATGTTTCAGGAATCGTTCCACCCTTCCCTGTATTGTAGATATTTTTTGTCTTATTCTCCAAATATCATATATTCTTAATATCATGTTGAACAATGGCTCGTCGAATGCATGTGAAATAAATGTATTGGCTAAGCACTAGGGGGGATGTTGCTTGGTTTGTTTTAAGGGTATGGGAATGGGTACGATAAGAAATGAGCATATTAAGAATTCCCCCCAATTTACTACATGCGTTAGCGTATGGATAACTACTCATTAAGTAATCACTCATTGCATTATACATTCATATTCCCATTCCTCACCCCCTGATACCCCCAACCAAGCACCACCTGAGAATGTGTTGATTATGCAGTTGATGAATCATGTTTGACATTACTTGACAATACCAAAACCTACGAATGTCACATAAAGACAATTCTCTAGATTAACTATGGGATTCATCATCATTATAAAATATGATTCTTGTAATATTCTAGAGGATTAAGAAGTTCTGGAAGTCGATTGGCTATTATCAAGAGATTGAGATCAAGAAGTTTCTTAGTCGTGTTTGTATCATGTTTTAATCATTGTTTCGACCAGGATAATTGATTGGAGATGATCCACATAATAGCCATAAAGAGCCACTTTTCTATCTATAGTTCGCGTCCTCCTTCCGTCCCAAAATCCCTATAATTCTTCTATATGCACATGAATTATACAAAACCCATTGTATAAGAACAAGGTTATAGTCTTTTGGATAAAGAAAAAGAGATGCTTCCAAAAAGTTTGGTACCCCCTCCAATCTCGATTTTCAAAATTATTACTTTGCAAGTTTGAAAATTGAATTTACTTCTCTGATTTTTTGTCACTGTTATGTTTCTATTCTGATAGAGATATGTAACTAAGAGGCCATTTACTAAACACTTACCTTGGTAAGCACTTACCAGTTCAACTACCTTACCAGGTGAACATAACAAGGATCGAGAGTCTTCCCAGTAACTCAGTAAGTGAGGGTGATGACTCTTACCTTATAAGCGCTTACCGGGCTTGAGACGCTTACTAAATATCTATTTTGTTGACTGATAATGTTATATGGTAAGGTAAGGGTGATATCTCTTGCCCAGTAAGCAGTTACAGGGTAAGCATTTGATAAGCGTCCCCTAAATGTAATTATCAATTTTCTCAACATAAAAAAATAACTCCTGTCAATCTTGAAGTTGAAAAGCACTTCATTCAACCAAGGTTTTAAAAAGTGGTATCGGGACTCAAAGCGTTTTCCTTCCACGCCCTGAGGCGTACGCCTCAAGGCAGTCCAAGGTGCAAGCCTCGAGGCGTAAAACAAATAAAATTCATAAATATTAATAGCAAGCAAAACATAATTCCATACCAACCTTTAAACGTCATAAATTCATAAAATACTAGTTATACGGCTAAAAACATATCAAATTACAACTTATAGTTCCCCGTAGCATGATCAAGTTGTATAGCTCCACAATGTATCCATAATCACTATCACTTTCATCTTCCAAATCCACAGAAAACAGAAAACTGAAAATAATATAGAAAACAGAAATAAAATAATACAGAAAAACAGAAAATATACAAAAAAAACATACATAACACATAATACATATAGAAAATACATTATACATGATATAGAACATATATACTTGACTGAAATATATACAACATAATATAATACATTATACATAAACTAAAAATATGGACACAACTAAAAAGAACTTACTTTCTGGGTTGGCCTTTGAGATGATTAATCTTCTTGAGAGAGAAAAAAGTAAGAAATGGAGAAGAAATAAGTGTTGTTTGGAGAGGCGTGCACCTTAGAATTTAGAAACGCCTCACGCCTCAACGCCTCAAGGCACCACCTCATCAATTGAGGCTTAAGCCTCGTCCAGGGACCATGAGGCGCCGGCTCATGCGCATTTTGGACCACCTCGCCTTGAGTCGTACGCCTCAAACGATTTTGAAAACCATGCATTAAACAAAAGAAACGTGGTACAGAACATATCCAGTAGGAGCAGAGCAGGGATTTTCGGTCAAGGTGGTCCACTACTCCACTTAACCCCAGGGTAAAAACTAGAAGATTCCTAAAACTTCAAGAATAAACAAAATACACTAGCAAAATGACTAAACCTACCTATAATCAGCGCAAGATAAAAAAAAGGCAATTAACATGTTTATAAGACAACTTTCAGGCATGCTTAAACTAAGAAAACAGTCTATATTTGTGTGTGCTTGTGACAAATGTAAAATGATGAAAGCAAATCCAAGTTACACTTTAGCCTTGTATGGAAATAATAAAATCAAACATAAATGAAGGGGGGTCATCATCGATAGGAAACTAGGTTTAGTTTAAGTTGGAAAGGTTAAGCTATGTTGGAGGTTTCATGATTGATGCATGACATATGTTTTACTTGCGGTTGGGAACAATATACGAATGTATTGCTCCCCATGTATACTCTGATCATATAGAAGTATGTTGATTTTGGTTAGTAAAACACTAGACAATAGATTCGGGAAAATGATTGAACAATAAGTTTACATGCTAGTAGCAAACATAAATACGTCTGCATAATCATAGCATTTTCATGACAACTCTTACAACTAAAGACATATTAGCATGCCACTGCGGATCTAATATTAATTTGAAAATTGAAATTTTGATTAATTCAAGTTTCCAACCATTCATTTGATTTCCTTTTATACCTCTCAAATACTCAGTCTAACCCGATTCTCAATCAGAATTACGAATATATATACACACACACACTTAATCAGAATTATGATGATTTTCGGTAGTTAATGCTAGTGACAAAATTATACATCACCCTTTCTAATCATTTGAACACCCAAAACGACACTGTCTTGACTATTATTAAAAACAGGAAGCATAATGGATTGATGCTACGATGAGCAATAAGCCGTACATGAAAAATATTGCAGACATCCAATGACATCAACAAGCTAGTTGAAAAATAAGAATCATCTCTGAACCAAGAAATCCTACTGGTCCAACTGATCCAAAGAAGAAATCGGTCGATAGGGTTATTTAAACAACTTTTAAACAAATCCAAATACAACGTATTAAGACTCAAGCATTAACAACCAAAAATCAAATACAATGTACAAGTACAAAGCAACCTGCGAACGATAAATAGCACAAGACAAACCTCTGCAAAAGGCGAGGAGACTGATGACGAGCAGCCGGCAGCGGTGAGTCCGATTTGGATTTTGATTCGCCTGATTCGATTTCGAGTGAGGCTATTAGGGTTCAGAACTTCTGATTCGTTCGAGTCTGAGGGCTTCTGGGTTGAGGGACGAGGGCAACCGGATGAGGGTGGGCCTGTGGGCTAAACCATTTAGGCGAATATGAACAGTAACAGCTACGATTCAATAATTGTACTTCCGAAGCTATAGTAAAGTAGAATCATAGTAACTTACCAAGCCGCCTCAACTGTATATCGTCTTCTTCTCCCTCCAGCGATTTGAAACCCTAAAATCTTCTTGGATTTGGGAACCTTAAACACAATGAAAGGCTTGGAGATTGTTAATCGTTGAACGTCAACAGGTAAGGAACTGCGGTTGCCGCCGTAGACGGCTCTCTCCGGTGTCACTGAATTGGCCGATCAATCTAAAGTTCTCATTTCTAAACCCACCCTCTCGTTCAAACTCTACAAAGTACAAACCCCCGACTGTTTAACCCGGTGAAAAAAAGTTTAGAAATCAGATAGTTACACTTCACCCCCTACATTTTTATTTTATTTCAAAAGACACCTTGTTTCGGATAATCAAAATACTATCACTAGATATTCATGAATCGAACATTCAGCGAACCTTTTATGAATCGTTTGGCAGAAAGTTATGTTCGTTTATTTAATAAATGAATGAACATGAACGAGTTTTTTTTATTCTTTTAGATAAACGAACAAACATGAACAAAGTTCTTGTTCGTTCGTGAATGTTTGTTTCCCTGTGGCTTAAGAGAAAATAAATTTATCAATTAGACATTTATAATTTCACACATATTTTTTTGATTTGCTAGGAGTGTGTATCTCAGTAATCGAAGTCAAAATTTGCTAAATCCATCGACATTGGATAGGTTATGTTATGAATTATCATGTTCAAATTGGTTTTTCCGACTATGTCAATATTTGAGTTACTCACTTAAGTTGCATGAACGTTCCCAGTTTTTAGTCGTTAGTTTTTGGTCTTTAGATGCGATGAGTTATTAAAGCATGATATATTATTATGGGCCTAAAGAAAAGTAGGATGCGACATTTTTCCTTCCATTTTTTTTTCCACCTATTAGTTAGAGGGGAGTGTTAATGGCACCCCCTATTAGTTAGAGGGGGAGTGCTAATGGCACCCCTAATAGGGGTGTGGAATGCTTTGGAATTTGGAATTACTTTGATTTCCATCAAATGAGATTTCTAAATCCCATCCCATGTTTGTAGGTAGGATTCCACACCCCCTAACAGGGGGTGTGGAATGCTTTGGAATTTGGAATTACTTTGATTTCCATCAAATGAGATTTCTAAATCCCATCCCAAGTTTGTAGGTAGGATTCAATGAAATCTCAGGATTTCAAATCCAAACAATTCTTCAAATCAAACATGAAATTGAAATGAAATTGAATTCCAAATCATATCCAGTCCTACAAACCAAACATGACCTAAGTAGTACCTTCTGGGTTGTAGGATTGAAATTGGATTCCAAAGACTTTAAAATTTAGTTTCATTCCGATTCCATATATGTTTTGAGGATTTCCTGGATTTGAAATCCCCAAAATTTCATTGAAATCCCACAAGTATAAAATCTTACGGGATGGTTGGTATTTCATGGGATTTTGTAAAACTTAAATATAATAATGTTTTAAAACATGCTAAAAAAACATTTATTTTGTAATAATCAATTAATAAAAGATAATTTATTTATTATTTATAAAGAATGAAATCGGATTTCATTCCATATAAAAAATCCCTTCATTTCACCAAACCAAAATCCCATAGTTTTCGAGTGAGTGTCACATTTTGATATCCCTTCACTGTAGCAGCAGTAGTTGCAGGTTTCTGAGTAGGAACAAAAGTGGTTGATTTTGGGGTTGAGAAAGCATGTTTGAAGATGCAAAACCAAAGAAGTAGGTTTGAGAGAGAAGTTGTCTCTCCCTTTGCATTTTGCGTTAAAAAATGACTGAAATGCCCTTCACATAACTCACCAGTAATGAGAACACTCGACAAATGCTCTTATTAGGGCAAAGGGATTATTTCTGTAACAAAATGCAAACACAAAATCACTTGTATACTTCAAAGTCAAGTGACAAAAACCAAAGACCATTTTGGTAATTTACTCTTTGCTTTATGCTATTGCCTTTTTTCACCTTTGAATTCTTTTAAAAGAACACATTTTACAATAACTTCCGTAATAAGACGTATAATTCCTATTCAGACCAATGATTTGTTACAACAGATGATCTTTGCAGCAGTAATCATCTCTTTGGATTAAGAGCTTCAACTTGTGAAAGCAATACAAGTTGGTCGTTGGCTACATAAGACGGCCCACATAATGAGCTCGGGGATATTGTTTTTGTAGTTGCGGCCACTGCACAAACAACTGATCAGCCATGCGTAATTTGTAAAGAAGCAAGCCACTCAGTGACAGTCTTTTCACTCTTGCTATACTCTCCACATAGAATATATACGACCATCTCATTCCCAAAACCTGCACACGTAATTTACGGGAAATTGTTTAAAATACATGGGAACTTTCCAAAAAATGAAATGCTGCAATTTTCATGGCACAGAGAATGTACTACTTCAAAGTTGTAGTACTTGAACCTTGAAAATGAACGCAATCGCACATATAGGGATACAAGTCCCAGGACCATTGCATAGAATCTGTGTAAAGAAGATGAAATGCCATCAAGACCACAAAAAGTAAGAAATAATACCGGTTATAGTGAAATAAATAACATAGTACCACTTGAGGTCTGATTTTTATCATAAGCCACAAGGCATGAGCTAAAGCTAGTAATGTGGTTCCAACTGAGGTAATATATGATTGACCCACTTCACGGCTTCGATAAATCTGCATAAATTGGGTATCATCTCCCCCCTGCAAGCTTGTCTACACAAGTAGGAACCCGTTTAATGTCACAGCTTGAGTCAGTCAGAAAACAAACGGGCCATGTCATTCAAAGTAAATTAGACAAGCGTGATTCCAGTTTGAAATTAAATGAAAGAAGCGCATAATTTTGAGAGAAAAACACAGCATGGCCTTCTATCTTGGAAATTAAGGCAGTGGAATCCATCCATCAAAGGAACCATATTACCTGTAAGAATTCAAGACATCTAGAGATGAAATGTACTTCTCTAAGGTTCCTAATGTATATTATCATAATGGCAATAAGTGAAGGCCATGAATTCTAGCTGCTTTACATGATCATAGTAGCATTGACAGATTGGGTGTGGATGCATGATAGCTCCATTTTTAATGCTTAGATTCAAATGCCTGCCATACCCTTTGTGTGCGCCAAACTTGAAATCCACAAGCTCACTAATATTGAAATCTATAATTGAGAATATAAAAAGCCATAATGGCTTGAGAGGGAGGCAAGCTGCCTTCCCAAACGAGTACATTAATACTGACTCAAGCTCACTAGTTTAAAAATACAACCCTTTGTGTGTGCAAACTTGAAAAAGCTTGACCTCCAAGTCTGTCTTGTTCTAATGGAACCCAAGTACAGTAATTCCATATCAAATCTGAATTGTGAGTAGGAATGGAGATCGAAATGCAACCAAAAAGAGGCTGGTGGTAAGCTTGTCAGAGCAAAAATGATGCCCTAACACTTCTTGTCAATGATTAAGGGGCCATTTACAAAATTCTTACTCGGGTAAGCGCTTACCAAGTCACATTTCTTACCGAATGAGTATGACAAGGACCAAAAATCTTACCTGGTAAGAGCGAAGACAATAACCGAGAGTCTTACCCGGTAAGTGATGGCGACGACTCTTACCACAGTCAGCGCTTACCGGGTAAATTTTTATATATGTTGTTGTTTTCCTAGACTAAAATCTACCTGATAAGTAAGCGATAGAGTTGAATTTTACCGTTAAGCGCTTACCGGGTAAGTGTTTAGGTAAACGGCCCCTAAGATGCATAAAACATAACCCAAGCTTGGACTTTGTATCCTATCAAATTAAAAAGAACACAAAGATTTCACCAACGTCATCTACCAATTGCAAGCTTTACCGCACTGAAAATTGATAAATATCACAATGGAACTGAAGAGAAAACCATCTGAAGAAAATTTGAATTCGGTACCTAGCACCTCTGTTTCATTTTCTGGGAAGCCAATGGTAATTCCACGTCAATATGAGCCTCAACTAAAGTTAGGCAAGTATATAGGCTTGAATTTTAAAAAATGGAAGAGCTCATGGACAAATGGGGTATTATGTTGTGTTAAAAAAATTCTAATGTTGAAAAGTTCTTATTTTTCAGAAGACTAAACTTTTAACCATGTCATATATGTCAAAACTTACTTGTATTCATCACTAAAAACCTCATTTTGCATTTCATCCATCCCAAAACAAATACAACAATTTCCTTCCCGGGGTGTCCAATATTTAATATAGAAATTATGATTACTGCTGCTAACAATGATAATAAGGTAATAACAATATAATTTTTTAATAATAATAATAATAATTTTTTTATAATTATAATCATGAATCAAATTTGGGAAAGAGTGTGAGACTCAACCTCTTCATGGGTTTCAGAGATTCCTAAATATTTGGAAATGATTTCAAATTTTCAATATTTGAAACCTAAACCCACAAGCCAGATACACCTACTTTACCATCACTGCATTACCACATTCCAAAATCTATCAACCAAACACTGCCGAATATGCATATGGCTACCTTAAGTTGGTCAATGCATAAAATTGATGCACATACGAGAGGATTCCCTGAAACACTTTATATTTGATGATCCCCATAAATAACCACCGAATACAAGTACACTTGACATCCGAATCATTAATGAGACCAAGTACAAGTAATTAACCAATCATTACGCTTAGAAAGGTTCCTACTATTCAATGAAATATGGCTCTAAAGAAGTTGCTTAAGCTTATATACATATTTTGAGATTGAGCTACAATGTATATCAATTCTACCTAGCTTAAGGAACACCCTGACCAGTTTGGCTTCCTAGAGTCAAACCTAGTAGTTTTCAGTAGATCTTGTTGGGTATATTGTGTAAATTTAAAGATTGATAACGTCGTCTGAAAAAAGAACTTATTTAAGGGTTTGTTGAGAAAGAGAACACTGACTAATCATCTGAATATCAAGTCAGTGGGTAAAATGAGAAGTACCAAAGGACCAATCAACTGAAGAACAAGTTCAGTAGGTAAGGATCAAAGGCTCAGCAACTGATGAAGAAAACCAGTTGCTAGTGGATCAAGAAACCAACGCGAGAAAGCAAGTTGGCAGACAATCAAGCAACTGATGAAGGAAGGCCAGTTGCTGACTCTCAGCTGATCCCAACAAGTCAACAACTGAAGATGAATTTGACAGGTTATGGGTCTGCAGTTGTCAGCAAATCTGAAGTCTTTCTGACACATCAGAATGTATGTCTTATTCCTCCTGACTTAAAAGACTATCAGGCCCAGTACTCGATGGCGACTGATGACAAAGTCAAAGCAGCAAAATAGACAATAAACATTTAATTAAAGCTGCAAGCCGACCAAGACAGGAGGAGTTGCAAGAGAATCAGTCAAGAACGATTTCCAGATCGTGTATCGAAACCCAATGGACTACCAAACGTGGCCCGTCTATATCTCTTTGTGGGTATAAATATCAGACTGAAGACAGCAAGACTTCCTGAGCTTGCTAGTCTGTCCATTGAGCCTAACTATCTATCAAAGTGTGTCTAAGCCTAAGCGAGTGAAGTTCAAGAGTTCTAAAACTTAAAGAAGCTCTCTTCTCTTATGTATTCCTACTAGGCAGTTATCATTTAGGGTTGAGTAAGAATTAGAACACTGAGAGAGAAGCGGGTATTTCATAATTTGTCACATTCTGAATTTATTCAGAATAGAAAAGGAGATTCTCGTTCAGACTTCTAAATCAACCAATTTTGATTTACAGTTCATTTTCCACACCAGATTGTTGCTATTGTTTAAAGTTTATTAATTAAAAATAATCTTAAACTTGTTGAATTTGTATTCAAACCCCCTTATACAAATTACTTGTTGAATTGTTTACGCTTCAGGACCAGCAAATTAATAAAAAATAATTTTAAACTTGTTGAATTTGTATTCAAACCCCCTTCTACAAATTACTTGTTGAATTGTTACCCTTCAGGACCAACAAAATTTATTATGAAATTTATTACGAGTTAAACACAAATTACTTTCTCTTTAGTGATCCTTGTAAAGTTTAATGTTGTAACCAAAATTTGAATGAAAGTCAGAATTCCATATCAATATCAATGCAAATAAGTACTTGTTTTAACTTTATATAAGCTTATTGATCAACTCTTTTATCCATGTTTAACATGACTGGAACACATAGCAGTGCTCAATATGAAGGTATGATAATCAACATCTACCACTGTTGTAGACTGTCTTGATCCAGTAGCAGGTGTGTGATATTTATTATAGCAGCAGTCCTCAATATGAAGGTACGATAAGTAAGTACACACAAAAAAAATCATCATAGTACTTCCTGGAAAAAATGCACATCATGTATGGATGTGCCTCTGCTTTGAAGAATCAAAAAATCAACCAAGCAGTGTTTAATTGTAAGTTAAGGAGGGGATATCGAGAGTAAAAACATACCGGGTTATCAGAACTCTGCAGTGTATGATAAGATTTAGACCCCGTTTGTTTTTTCTTTAAGTGATATATAAAGCACTTACGTCTAATTCGACATATGTGAATTCAGACCATTTGCTTTTTTTTTGTTTCAGATTTGCAATCATCTTATAACATATGTCCAGTCCCACCGAAGAAAAGAATGATTTAATATGTCTGAAAGTTGGAATACAGTGCTTCTCGTTAACGATGGTTCTTGATCTGCTTCTTAGCCGCTTTCTTGATCTGCTGCAGAGGTCTGATCTGCTTCTCGTTGTCACCATTGCTATTGCCAATCCATCGGTAATTGGATGAGGGAGAGAGAGAGGTATGGGGTAGTGATGGTACATGTGAGAGGGAGTTTGAGGCATGATCGTGCGAGAGAAAGAATATGAAGGTTTTATAAAAGTAAAATGGATAAATACATGTATTCAACATTCAGATTTCAGATGCTACCTTTTAATGTTCAGATTTCAACCTTCAGCTTTTAAAAAACGAACATCCTCTTAATGTTTTACATAATTCAATCACAACAAAGATTTTCCTAGTTCTAAATTTACATATAATAACTTTTTCACACAGCATTATTGCAAAATTATATCCATATCCAAAAACATCAAGAGCAATGCTCAAAGATTGAATCCAAGTTCAAACAAGTCAAAATCACAAATTCAAAGCAAAACCCTCCAAACAAATAAATAGACTAACATAATGCAAAACTAAAGTGGGTATCAAAACAAAATCACAAAACGATTTGCATTAAATCATCATGAACCACGGTAAAATGGCATCAAAGTTTCATAATTGGGAACAACAAATTTGTTTAAAATATGGAGGCACGTTAACCCTGAGATCAAGAGTGACAAGAACAAAAACTGTGCTCCAGAACCGCTTCTTTTGCTTTGTCAAACTAACAAGATCATAACGGCACACAAACTCATCCAAGGGAACACCTTGTCCGTGCCAAAATTTATGTTCACGTAATCTAAGAGTTACCAAGATGATGTCAAATGCTTGATAAAATTTATACAAATGAGTGAAAAGTATTATAGTAGTTTAGTTGCCGACCCTTTCCCCATAAGGTGCAAGGATGGCTTAGAAGTTGGGTAATGTGATTAAGCAGTAGATAGAATTGCCACACTCTCGGCAATTGGCAATTTTGATAAAAAGGTAGACAAATACAAAAGACGATCTAAGAGTTTAACAATCATATTCGAAATTTTAATGGATTGTAACAATGATAAGGCTACATATAATGAACTCTTTACCTAGTATTTCATCTACATAAACTAAAAGTCGACGTACTTTATCCAAGTCAAACCAAGCAAAAGTCCATTTCTGGCTAAACTCAGTTAGAGGACAAGTCAGAGTTTGGATAAAAAACGTAGACATAAGAAACTCAATATTTTATTCCTCTAGAGGATTGATCCGGGAATCAATCATGTGACTGCACCAGAAGCATAAACATAAATAACAGCTAAAAAATTGTACATAAATACAAAAAAGCAATCCAACTATTTTACGAACTTGTGCAAAATTTCAATGCATTAAAGAAACAAAATTAACGAGCAACAGTATGTTTTTTATATACCTTATCATCCAACGTCTCCTCAAAAACGTACGCCTTCTGAAGACTCATGTTGTCTGTTGCTGCAGCAACGTAAAATCTTGGAGAAAATCGATCTTTTTGCATAACAGATAACAGATTTATCATCTCTGCTGTGTGCCCCCCTGTACGAGAACCAAAGACACTGATGGGGGACTGAAAGAGAATTCAAACAATTTGAAGAAAAAAATGCTCCCACCATCCAAAAAAATGTACAGTTTGACTTTTGGGTAAATCATTGACTTCCCAAATCAAATTTGATAAGTTAGAAACCTAACACCAGCAATTTCTAGATATATGTATAAACAAGAAAGAAAATATGCTTGAAAGCACACCTGAGCCTAAAACAACAAGAGTACTCAAATGCTTCTGAGAAGAGTTACGGATCGGTTTACTAGTCTGAGATATAACATACAGAATCCGGACTATGAGTAGCGTGGTAGTAATAACAGCAAAGAGAACAACTGAGACAAACTCCACCATTTTCGAATAGGCAACCAGCTATATTACGTGTTTAAGTGCAAAGTACACTACCTGCATCACATTCATGAATTAGTTAGGAACAGCGAGAAATACTCGACTCAAGGCTTTATGGGTATTCACATAAAAAGACAGCAATGCATGTACCATTCCCCCCCCCCCCCNATCCCAAGAAAACAAACCCATTGCCTTCTTTAGCAAAAAGTTATGCTCCACCATGCAAGATCAGTCAACTTATACCAAGGAGTTCTACGCCGTCAAACACCACCCAGCTTACGGCTTTAATTGAAGCCACTAAATCCTTAACCACCAAAATCGATTCCCAAACAGCAACCACCGCCAACCTCGTCACCCTCTTTTAATTCCAAAACTAAATTAGCAATCTCAAACTTAATTCTTTCCAACCTCAAAGTGAAGTAAATTCTAATTTATTTGAGACAAAACTTCCAGTAGATGATCCTTCATATCAAGTACTTCAATTATCATAACTATGAACAAACCCCTATCCATTTTGCATTTGAAAACGTACTAGGTTTGACATCAAAATACAAATTGCAGCTCTATTTTAAAAAACCAAGGAAAGTTTTCACTGCTATTCATCATGAAGGCTTATGACAGTTCCTTTATATAACCGTATACGATAATATAAACATCGAACGATGATGTTCTTATGCAAACTACACCTTTGGTTAAATCAATAGAAATAAACGAGAAAAAAATTGATCATATATTTCTTCCCAACAATTACTATAAACATACCCCTAAAATAGAATGGCATCTCACACACACATATTCTCAGGATATTCATGTACATTGATTAGTGAGATTTCTCCCTTCTTATTTCTCATCTCCATAATGTAGATATTTGAAGATCAAACAAAATTTCAAGAGTCACAAACTATATCGAGCTTACAGAGAAACTTTTTAGTTTCTTGATTAGAATTCCTAGTGGTGGCGCCGGAAAAGATGAATGGAAGTGCTTCTAAACCAAACCAAACTATATTTAACTCAAAAGTAGGGTCTGGAAGGTGTAGGATGTAATGTCACATGTCCTCTAAACCGAAAGGTAGAGAGACTGTTTCCATGAAGACCCCCGACTGTTTCCAACCACTCATTTGATTTCCTTTTATACCTCTCAAATACTTGCTATTCTAACTCGTTTCTCAATCGGAATTATGAATACACACACACTGATACGGCCCAACAGGACCAGTCTACTAGTCCACAACATCAGACAGTCCAGATCAAAGCAAGACCCACTAGAGAAGTCAAGAAGCCCATGAGATATAGAGATTGATCGACAAGCAGCATGTTCCCACGTTTTTATTTACTGCATCCTTGTTTTGTGTTAAGTTGAAGTAGTCTGCATCATGTTAGGGAAGTTAGTGCATGTTAGGAGTTAGTTGCATGAAATAAGGAACATGGGTGATGAACCCACTTTCCCAGCATGTTTAAATTGAAGTCATTTGCATTGAGTGGAATACACAGAAAATTGTCCCAAATTGTCTCTACTCTTTCCTTTCCTTCCTGTCWTCGCAGTGAGTGCCATCAATTGGTGCTTTCATTCTCAACTCACCTCCACCATGCCACCCCGCCGGGATACCACCGGTGATGACAACCAACCACCACTCACCGATCTCCTCACACAACTTATCTCAGCCACCAATACCGCTGCTGACTGCAACACCACCCAGCTTACGGCTTTAATTGAAGCCACTAAATCCTTAACCACCAAAATCGATTCCCAAACAGCAACCACCGCCAACCTCGTCACCCACATCACCACCCAATCGAACAACCTCACCAACGACATCAACAAAACCCCGCCCATAAACTTCCCAAAAAAGAACCCTTTCTCTCCCTCCTCCTCATCCCACCCGCATCATCCTAGATCACCAAAAATTCAGCTTCCCTCMTGCGATGGCACGAACCCCCTTGGTTGGATTTTCCAGGCGGAAAGCTTCTTTTCGTACTACAAGATTCCACCGGAGGACYGCGTCGCACTCATAGCATTCCATGTTACCGGTGATGCTCTCGCTTGGTACCAACATTTAGCCAGCAACCATCTCCTCGGAACATGGGACACGTTTAAAAGACAGCTTGAACTCCGCTTCGGCCCTTCCTCCTACGAAAATCACGAAGCAACTCTCCTGAAATTACACCAGACGACAACAGTTCGAGCATATCAAACCGAATTCGAAAAACTGAGTAACCGAGTCACCGGGCTATCCCCACAAACCCTAACGAATTGCTTTATTTCGGGCCTTAAACCAGAAATCCAATCCGACTTAGCCATCCTTAAACCCACCACATTTCATGAAGCGTGTGGCCTGGCCCAACTCGTGGAAGACAAACTCAACCACCAACCTAAACCGAAATTTTCATATTCCCCTAAACCATTCTCCCCCAACCCCACGTCCACTCCACATACCAGTACACCTCCTTCAGCCGCCATTAACAAAACCCATCCCACCCCAGAACCAATCACAACCCCCAACCCACCAAAAYCATTACCATTCACAAAACTATCACCAGAAGCTCTCCAACAACGCCGAAAAGACGGGCTTTGCTTCCGTTGCCCTGAGAAGTTTTTTCCAGGACATAAGTGTTCCCCACCCCAGTTCTTAATAATCGTGGATAACGACGATCAACAATCTCTGTCAGACCCAAACGACACCACCCCACCCCACTCGAAGCCACACCACCATCACAATTATGGTCCCTATCTGCCGCCGCATACTTTGGCATGTCATCTGCCCAAACCCTACGGCTCACAGGCTTCATCAGAACACAACCGGTCACGGTGTTAATTGACTGCGGCAGCACACGTAATATTGTGCAGCCCCGAATCGCAAAACAGTTAACCCTCCCGACCAACCCGCTTGAACCGTTTCGCGTTATGGTAGGCAACGGCCAATTCATTCATTGCTCGGCGTATTGCCCAGAGGTCACATCACAGCTACAGAAAACCAAATTTTCAACCTCTTTTTTCGTCTTACCAGTGGAGGGTGCCGATATTGTTTTGGGTATTTCATGGTTGGCTGCCCTCGGAACCATAACGGCTGATTTTTCCGTCCCACAAATTTCCTTCGTTAAGGATGGCCACCACTGTACTTTACAAGGTGAACCACGCACCCAACAAGTCTCATCGAGTTCATTATCCACTATGCTCAAACATGATTTCATTGCTTCCATTCATACCCTCACCATGGAACCAAAAACCCCCATCCAAAACCAAACTGCCGACAGTGTTGACCCAAACATTACGGCCCTATTAGACCTCTTCCAACCCATTTTTGACGTACCACACAACCTTCCACCAACCAGGTACCACGACCACCATATTCCCTTACTCAACAACAACCAACCAGTCAACGTTAAACCATACCGTTACCCCCACTTCCAAAAACAGATTATGACGCAACTCATCACCGAAATGCTACAAGACGGCATAATTCGACCAAGCCAAAGCTCTTTTTCCTCTCCTGTTTTGTTAGTCAAGAAAAAAGATGGCTCCTGGCGTTTCTGCGTGGACTACCGGGCCTTGAACGCAGTCACAGTCAAAGATCGATTTCCGATCCCAACAATCGACGAACTCCTTGACGAATTACATGGTGCAACAGTCTTCTCCAAGATCGATTTGCGCTCCGGATATCATCAAATCCGTGTGGCTGAAGCAGATATWCACAAAACCGCATTTCGCACAGCRGATGGCCATTACGAGTTCCTCGTGATGCCGTTTGGCCTCACGAATGCACCGTCCACATTTCAATCAGCCATGAACGACCTCTTTCGACTCGTGCTTCGCCTCTTTGTGCTGGTTTTTTTCGACGATATACTCATCTACAGCAGCAACCGAGAAGACCATTACG